AGGGCAATTACCATGGCTAGAAGGACCAAATGATCCCTTATTGTCCACCCATAGGCCTGTGTTTTTTAGGAAAAAATTAGTTTTGGTCTTGGCTAAAAAGCCAAATGGCAATGTGATCCATCATCCTTAAAATAGTTACACATAGAAAAAGGTCCATCTAAATAGTTTGTCAGAAATAATGAAAATCTTGGACAAATTATTTTCAAATTTCAGGGAGCAATAACTTCTTTTAGAAATATCTTGGGAACATAGTTTTTGATATGTTGTTCAGGGGAGTTGTTACTGCTATGTATAAGTGGATTAAACTGTCTTACAATTTATTTTATTTAACCTTATTTTGGGGTTATTTCCACTGTACTATTATTGGAAATGAAGCTCTGCCTTCAGCAACGGTGGAAGGAGCTCAAGTGTATATGAGATGGCTCTACCTGATGACTGGTAAAGTCATTGTGGTCTTGCTAATGTAACTACATGCAGAATCGCATAGAAGTTTGTTGGATTGAACATATGCACAAGCTTGGTACAGTGCATTCTTTCAGTAGAGGGACAAGTGCATTCGTGATTCTTGATGAAAGATTCGGCACAAATGCTACTTCTACATTATAAACTTTGTTCTTAGAAGAGAAAGGATCATAGCTTGATTGGCTGTTTCACTAAACTTTATATTGTTAACTGAACTCATCACCTATCAGATAAAGAGTTAATAGTTTCTATTCCTGAATAAATATAAAATGTGCAGTCATCCCAATTCCTTGAATCAGAGCATATACCAAATACAACTGTCTAATGGGCCATTTGCAACCATCTTTTGTCATTACATGTTGTTTCAATAAGGAAAATTGCATTGCATTTGTTTTTAAGCAAAGGAGATTGACTTCAATGAATTGTTGACAAAACTATTTGGGTTTTGATGCAATGGGTGTATCCAGCACAACAGAGAGCCCAGGTTCACTAAGTAGCTGTGGAGATTTTTTCTCCTGGATGCCACTGTTCATTGTAATTTTACTGAGTACAAAAAGAGATCGCTACCAAAGTGAGGGCTTTTTTACATTTGTCATTTCTGTAAGAAGTGTCAAAGGGGAGATATTCAATTCAATTTAATCGACATGGTATAATGAAATCATGCATGTATATAATACTGACATGAAAATAAATAAATAAATATTTATATATATATTTTGTTTTTACTGAACAACAACAAATGTATACTCAAACACATTCTTTTCTTTATGCTTCTTTTTCTGTGCATGTTCCTATCTTCGAAATATTTCCTTCAATCGGTTGATGGAAGAAGTTCCATTTCTTTTGTGCAATTGCCTCATGAAAAGAAACGTTTTCATTCTTAATAAATTTTTTTTTTTTTCAGACTGACTGTTCAGTATATACAAAGACTGATGGATCAATGTTAATTTTGATAAGAAATTTTAAGAATTGAAAAAAATAATTTTCCTGTAATGTACTCTTGAAAAGAAGCATTTTGATATATAAATATATATATATTTCTCTAGAACTAACTGTTCAGGAGATACAGTGTGACAAACAGACATACATTTAGTTATTATAGGGCAAATGGATGACTTCCGTGTTCTGGATTCTTCCCTGGTACAAGAAATTTCTAGGGGTATGGCTTATTGCAGGTTTCTTCCTAGATGGTCCAAATGCCCAAAGTTAATCAATATTCATTTGTTTTCCATTAAATATAGGGAATATTTCTGTCTAGAAAATGTTACATCTTCAATCTTCAGAGGCTCTCCTGAACTTTTCTAAACAGGCCATATCTTAGATTGTAAACTAATAATCATTAAAAAAACAGTTTAACTCTTTTCATTGGGTATAGGACTAACTAAAAAGTATTTCCTCTAAATCTACTTCGTTTAAAATTTGGGTTAATTTTTTTTCCAGCTTAACTTTAAGTTACAGTAAACTTTAGCCAACTCAGTTAATTTTGAACTGTTTATTTGGTTTGAGCTATATATTCTTTCATTGTGTTTGTGTTGGAATGTTTTTATCAGGGAAAACTAAAGTCTCCATTTCATTTCTATTCACAAATTCACAGACATTCCTATATATTTCCACTGACCTTTGTTTGCCAAGAATGTCATTGCACTTAGGAGGTTAATTTTAACTTTGGCTGAGTAAAATTAAGGGATTAGGATTATTTTAACTGTGGTAATCATGCTATATCAAACTCTTTTTAGGCCTAACAAAAGTAATAAAATCATATTTGACAGCAGATGTTTTTTCTTCAAAGCTCTTTATAGATTTCTAATCAGAAGCATTTTAAAACAGTATTTCTTATGTACTCTTCTCTGCACCAATTACTGCCCATAAGGTCTTTCATTCAATACTCATAATTTAGTTTGGATTTAGAGTAGATAAAAGTATATCTAGTGTTATTTGCTTGCAGTACAATATATTTAGTGCAATAGTGTAAAACACCTAAGCTGGAAAGCACTACAGCTTTCACAAAAGTGACCAACATTTTAGAACTTGTCTTAGATTTTTTTTATCCAAAGCTACACAAGGGTTATCTAAATATAGCTGCCCTAAATTTTAACTGATACACTAAAAGGAAGGCACCTAGTCAACAGCGTGCACTACCAACTCTCATCCAAACTGATAGTGGGATTTGACCCTCACTCTTATAGTACAACCATAGCCACAAAGTACAGAGCACATTACTGCAGCAATGGGATATAAACCATAATTCCTTGGATTCACTGTCCTGGTATACCATCACTTTTTGTTAAGCCTAAGAGGCCTCACTGCTTAGCCAGCTTAGGTGTTTCATTTCATTGCAAAAAGACTTCAGTACAGAAACTGAAATGTTGTTTCCTTTTTTTCTTTCAACATGCAGTTGTAATTGCATTAAAGTTCTCAAGCCTACTGCATTGTATAATGAACTTTGCTTACCAGTGTAAATTCATAAGACAATACTGTAATATAATATCATGGAGCCACATATAATTTGTTCAAACTAATGAGGAAAGCCATCTATCAATTGATGATAATCCTTTCAATTTTCTAACACAGATAACTTCAAAATATAACCATATATCTGTTCAATAAAAGTATTATAAAACCAGACTGAGGTTCTAGTATGAAGCAAAATCTATAATTTTTCCATAATTGATGTAAGATAGTGTTGATATAACTGTGACCTACTGTAAATGATTACTTATTGTTGCACAAATCTAAACCTTCACTTATGATTTGCATCAATTTAAGTTACCATTTTTATATCTAATCCAAATTTTACAACTAATTTAACTGTCTTAAAAGTATGTTTTGTTTATGAATATGTTTAAATCTTGAAGAGTTTTGATAAAGGCTGTTAATGAGATTCAGGCCTGAGATATTTGGAATATGTAGGTATTATTCACTGAATTATACTGGTGTACCTACCTCACCACTTTTATCACACATACCATTTTAAAATTCACAAAACTATAGCACTATAATAACAAATACCTCTAATCTCTCCTGTAACATTAAATTTGACCACTATTCACTAAACCCTAATCAATTGGCTCTTAGCAAAATTTCCTCATTAAGTTTAACATAAATCAAACAGTCAGTTTTTGAGAAAGGATGTGTACAATCAAGTTGTATTGGTAAAACAATGACTTCAAACAACATTAAGCAGGTGTAAAATACAACCATGTTTCATTTAAAAGTAAAGCACACAAGAACCACAATGGTAAAAGATAGAACAGCTGGTAATTTATTTTTCCTGGGTACACTTACAACATATTCTTCCTTACTCTGGTTGACAACAACTACCAATAACTAATTAGTTATTCTTATGACTAGCTGAAAACAGCATGTTAATCATTATACTTGTTACTAACATAAATATTGTTCATTTAAATGTCCCATGTACTTGTGTAATGAATATAGCCAGTGATAATGAGAAATTAATATGTACAAACTTAATTATGTAGACAAACAATTTTGAAAACCGTGGATTTAAAATAAAAGAGCTTAACTAATTTAGGTAAAAATCTTGTGATCTTTCATTAGCATTTAAATCCCCAAACTACATGAAAAACTGCTAAAATAACAGTAATAAGCTAAATTTCAAGCAAATCTAAAATGATCATACATTATTTTTAGGCAATTGTAACATGATTTATGCATGTAATTCACTGTTTCTTGCCTTTAGAAACTAAGATAAGACAAATAATCAACATTCAATGAAACATAGATAGTATTATCTTAGATAGGGCTATGTTCAAGAGTTCATTCACTAAGCAAGAATTCGAAGAAAGTTCTAAATTTTTGGAAGTATGTCTGCCAAATTTATTTTTTATTCTGTTATTAACACAAACTGGTGCACAATGTTTGAATAGCTATTACACATTAAATGTCACTCATATGATAAATTCAAATTTTTGATTTGTACAATGCTAATTACTGGAACAAAAATTGTATTAAAAGCACAAATATACCATCAAAACATTATACACAGGATATAGGATCTCCTTTTTTGTGCACTGTAGCAGACCATTGTGGTTAAGGAAGGGTGGGGGGGATCATGAGGTGGTTGCATTGCTTCAATAAAATATAATAAATGCCTGATGTAGAAGACATAAGAAAATCTGTGTTTACTTTCTCACCAGTGTAATTGTTCCTCTGTTCTATTCTGCTGTTTATTTATAATTATTTTTATTTATTAATTTGGCTGATGCCTTTGTCAAATATGTATGTTTAATTAACAATGTTCTTTAGAGAAAAAAAGGTGACTAATAACATTCTCTCTTGTAACCTTTTGTTGTAGTTGAAGGTCCATATTTATATCTTAATCAAACTGTTAGTGCTACTCTGTTCTATTTTGCTGTTTATTCATTATTATTATGTGGCATGTTTAATTAATCAACAATTTTATGTTAAAAAGACTATAAATGTTAATGTGCTTGGAATGGCAACCATTAAATAAAAATTTGTTTTGCTCAAGTCAGGTGCAGTTCTTTCAACTGGCTGCAATAGGGTTCTCTTGCAATGCAAGCTTACTGTATGTAAGCTATATGAGTATCACACATAGCATGAAGTACATGTACATAATCATTTAAGATGTAAGAACATTTTACTATTTGATATAATGTATTTTAAAACTACATGTAAACATTATTTCATTTATATAGATTGTGTATAAAATGAAAGAGTTTTTAATCAAATTTACATAAACAGTTAGGGTGATGGCATCAGTACAATATGCAAATTAGTAGATGTGAAAGTTTGAACCTTCATTTGGTTACATGTTCCAAACCATCAAAGGGCAAAACTTACCCTTCATTCCAGCCCTAATTATCAATAAATATATAATGAAGTATTTCAAATGTTTTCACTTTTCACTCAGAGTTCTCATGTATGAGGCACAATAAAAACTCAGATAGCTATCAAAAATACAAAACATCACTCTTTTTCCTCACAACATATTCCATGAATAAACTTCTCTTTAGAGTTCAGACTATTTAGTTAGCCAAGATTTGATGTCCAAGTAAATCTGTATTAAAGTTTAACAACTCAGAAAAACACACAGTTTGCAAGGTACAAATTTGTTTTTCTTTTACACTTAAATTCCAGAACAAGTTCCTATTACTAAACTCAGTGTTTTATTTATTGGAATCTTGAGGGATGTCAATTAACTGGGAGTGTAAAATATTTCCTCATTTATAATAAAGTAGAATAAAAGATGTAAGAAAATGCACTAGATTTTCAAAGGACAGAATTAAAACTAGTTAGCACTGGAAAACAAAGTAATATAAATTACACTAAATACATGCTCACATCTAAATGCACTAACTCTCCATAACAAACCATTTTTCCCAACACTGTAAAATGGTAAAATGAATCTCTTACTTCACAAACAAAAAGAACAGTAAGAAAGAAAAGAGGAATGCATTAGACAAAATTAAAAGTAGATTAATGAAGCTATCAAAAGTAAAACAAAAAATTCACATATGTAACAAATCATAACAATGCTTAAAAAGTAATACCATTTTCATTTCCAAATATTTAAAACTTCATTCTATTATTAGTAATTGGAGAAACTGCAGCCTTAGGCTAAATATTATTTAAACTAGATCATAATATTTTACTAAATGAAAACTTCCTGCCACAGTCTGTCAGAAACCACTGAAATTAATCACTGTATCAGACCCCCTACAAACATAGCAAAAATGTTAGTTGCAGCTACATTCATGTACATGTGTCTAAAATTTGTAAATTTATATCCTTTTTTGAGTAGATCAAAATGGAATTTCATCTCCAGTCAGATAAACGTGATACAACAGTTTTTGCACACAAACAATGAATAAATCATAAGGTACCAAACATAAACCACTGCAGTCAGTTTCATTTTATGGGAATTAATAGACTTGAAAGTAAAGTAAAAATTAAGATGTAAAAAAAAATTATAATTTCGTATTGTTTGGGTCAAATCCTTCAAGTCAGCAATACATGATTTTTTAATTTATATTTCTGAAAATCCAAAAGTTAATACTACTTAAACTCACTCTAACTGTCCCTAAATCAACATAAAAACTGTAGAAGATACAAACATTTTTTATGTATTGAAGTAGATGTGAATTCTTGTACATTTGAATCATCAAATCTTCTGAATAATACATCTAAATGCTAGGAGTGGACTGTCAATCAGATATATTATAAATTTTTAGTTGACTTAAATTGAACAGTATAAATCACTAAAATCCAGGGATTTTAAGCTTTTCTTCTCTGTATGTTATGTACACGTACATGACTCTTATTAGCCCAGATGTTACCTAGTTCTGGTTGTCATGTTTCAGCATTAAAACATGTGTCACAATTTGTAGGTGGTATTGGGTTTACTGAATTTAGACCACATAAACATGATTATATAAATGAAAAATAATATAAAAAGTATCACACATTGTTATATATTTCTTCTTTCTATCACATAATTTACATTTAATCTTTTATGTGACTTGTTTTTTGAACAACTGATGGTAATGAAAGATGTGTCAAAAAGTTTCTTTCAACAGTGTTTTAACAACACTAAGATATTATGTCCTGAAAGCACAGTTTAAGTGGGGAAATGTCATGGAAAGAAATCTAACCCCACAACCTTACAAACTCAAAATCTATGACATATACACTGAAAAACAATTTACAATGTTTCTACACCACAAATAAAACTTAGTTGTAGGAGGAATTAATTTTCATATTTTTTGATATATCCCGTGTACTCTTTACAACAATATTTCTAAAATCTGGGTGCAAGTTAGGAATTCATTTTCATTACACCATTACTACTAAAACTTGAAAACTCTGAACACACAAATCCATCCCTATGTTCATGTTGTTTCCAAACAAAGAATTTGCATTTAGTTAATGCTTCCAATTTCAAATGTTTACATTTATACTGTAATGGCTTAAAACAGCTTCTAGCATAAATGTCCCATTTACTAACACTGACAGTTCAAATATTACACAATAAACTTTTTCTCCAAACAGTGTACATTATGAGAAAATTATCCAATGATTCACATACTCTTTTACAATATAAGGTGCAAGGTTAGGCACTTTGCTAGAGTAACAAAACTTTAGTTAAGGAAATCACCTTCTGGTCCCTGACACAAAAGGCCTCAAGGTCTATTACAGAAAAGAATTCATTGAAGGCCAAAAACAATGGGTGGAATATCTCTCCTACTTAAAAGCATACAGCAAGATTAAGGTATTTTTTACCAACCTTTTTTATTCATTAAACAATAAGAAACAAACAGGTATATTTAAACCTGTAAAGTTTGATTCCATAGTTTAAACACTAGCTAACAAAAAAGTACAATTTCAAACATATCACAACCAAAGCTATAGCTTTCCTTTACAAAAATTCTGAGAATACTTTAATCTTTAAACTACCAAAAAGAGAAGTTCAAATCAGTTTGAATAAACATTAGCATTTGCAAATATACATACATACCTATATACATTTTAACTTCTTCAGCAAGCCAACACAAATACTATATTATTAGTACATGCATTTTTATCATTCCACAGTTCTTAGCTACCACTGGTAAACTTAAACGTCCCACAGTGGATGTAAGTTTCAAAAATTTTCACTTTGGTTTCTTAATCATAATTGTAGCTGCAACCTTTTGAGACACACCCAGTATAAGATATTATGAAAACTCACCAAACACTCAACACACACATTAGCATACTTGAAACCCACCAGTTTTTTTTTCTTTTGCATTGATAAACATTTTAAATAGGAAGAAAAAACACTGAAGGAAATATAGATATATTTTTTAATATCTAAGATCAATAAATTGTAGTTCATTTCTTCAAATAATCATTTTAGATGCAACAAGAATGATAGTTCTGTCTCTTATAGTAGGACTGAGGTTATTTGGATTCAGTGCTCTCAGAGGAGGATTTCTATTTTGAATAATACGCTATACAATAACTATTTTCATGTATAATCTCCAAACTCAGTAATAATGAAAATTCAAAACTTCTTCACTGTATTAAGAACTTTACAAGGTTTAATTCCCATCCCTTTTCTACAAAACAACTGACAATACTTAGAAGTCAGACCACTGATAACTTCAAAGAAATAGGTCAGACTATTTTTTGCATTCATATTACACATTAATGACACATTTTCTATGTTAAAACATTTGATCTGTCTTCCTCCAATACAAAATATCTAACTATTAACTTAAGTAAGATACCATGTACTACATTTCTTTTAATTCTATAATTATCCTTGGCAAAACAGTAAAGGTTCTTATGTAACTAATGTAGAATATCATCTATTGATTTTCACATTTTACAAATTCTTCTACTTACACAAAGACATGACACAAAACGTCTGTAGAATTTAAAGTGTCAATGTATCAGTGATGTTTAATTTTAGTTACTTACGTGTAAAATAACATTCAAGAGATTCTAGCTGAGTTATTTTAGGCCAAACCTTAAAATTATAATAAAATAAGCACTTTAGTACTACTTTTAAGAAGCAGTATATATACACATACACACAAACAGCAAAACTATTGAGAATTATAATAACAGGAAAGAAACAAACTACTTAAATGGTAATTATACACACATGGCATACACATTTCTAACCTGCTTAGCATGAATGATATATCATCACATATGGTGTACAGTTCTACTTCACTTAACATATTAAATACATGACGTATACAGTTCTAATGCACTTTACACAAATGCTAACTAGATACATCATGACCATCAAGATGATTCAGCATGACCAACTTTCTTTTTTCAAGTTTCTTTTATGTTAATTAGTTAATGAAAACTTCTAGGCAATAGATCTAACTAAATCTATCAAGAAATAAATGGGTACTACATGACATTGAAAAATTCATGCTCATCTTCAAAATTACAACAGTACAAAGAATGGGCAAACATACTAATCAGTACATAATTTTGCAATCCATTTCTTTTGAAGCTTCTGTAATTGATACAAACTTGGAACCACTGACTTGATTCATGTAATCTTTATTAAATTATTAAACCTAAAATGTCTGTTAAATTTATAGCCTTAAAATAATTTTAGTTATTGAAAATAAATTACCACTAACTCCAGGATGTTACTCTTTATCAAGAACATCTTAGGATGCAAAAAGTTGGCATATATTATAATTACATTGATGGCATTTTTGGAGTGTAGAACAACAGCCTCCTAAAAGTCTACAACTATTTAAACACTCAAGATGTATGCATTAACTTGACACTTCAAAACTCTATGAAACAAACAGTCTTTTATAAATATGCACTACTGGCACTTGTGTTTAAAATTTTTTAAATTATAATAAATAATTGAAAACAACATTTTATATTTATACAATAAAACCTTTATTGAAGCTGTATGGCTTCCACTTTAAACTATCTCTCTACAAGTACATGTTTCGATGTGATCTACGTCGTTCTCAGGAGTAACCGAGTATAAAATAGTCTTGTAAGTTACTCCTGAGAATGACGTAGATCACGTCGAAACATGTACTTGTAGAGAGAGATTTTAAAGTGGAAGCTCTACGGCTTCAATAAAGGTTTTATTGTGTAAATATAAAACGTTGTTTTTAATTATTTATTATAATTTAAAAAACAGTCTTTCTTAGACACACTCCTCACCATAGAAAATAATATCCTGTTCAATAGTGTCTAATAAAAAAAAAACGTAGAACAAAACCCATCACCCTTGTTATGAAGTAAGAGGACATTCTCAGTGAACTACACAGAACTGACACATTTGCAATTGGCAATGATAGATGCAAAACTGAACTATGGAGTTACCCTTTATGATAATGGATATCCATCATATTTCATTAGATTTTAAACAAAAACATTAATAAAAACCAAACTAAGTAAGGAAAGCTATTTGAAATATACCAAACATAAACATAAGTGATACCATAACAAATAAAATCTATAGAACAGTTAACAAATCAAAACTACCACTATGCCTTACATAAAAAGAAGGAATAACTTACAGTCCATGTTAATGGTTTCTATTTGTACAAAACAAATATCGAAAAAAAAAACAACAATACATGAAAAAAACTCAGGAGTCTCCAAACAATGTACAGACAAAGGAGTTGTTTATGAAGCCATGTCCGAGAAAACCCACGTTTGGTGAAATAGGACAAGCTATTCATGATAGACACCTAGAATACATGCGATATATGTACAGAAACTAAACAGTGATCAATGCTGTAGCAGAACATGTGTAAAACTAACAGGCTTTCCCTATCCTAATCACCCCTTAAAACTGTCATTTGCTAAAATTTGCTTAGAATGGAAATATAAAGCTCTTCTAAACCAAAACTACCAACTTCTGCTTAACAAAAATACTGGATGACCACTTACATAAATTTAGAGTGTGTTGGTGAGTAGCATATCTTTTTAATTAGCGATTTTTTTGTTGTATAACTTTATGTCACAGTTTTGTTACAATTTCATTATTTAAATAACTGAAAAATTGTTCTCTTTCAACAGTGTCAGTGGTTTGTAATAGAATATTCTTAGTGTAGTACCATTAGGCAAGAATTAAAGACATTGTTGGGAAAACAATGACATCCTTTTCCAATTTGGATCTACATACTGGTGAAGCTTTTTTTTTGTTTTTGTAAATGATTTTTTACTTAATAAACTAAATTGTTATTGACTATACTTATGTTAAAACATCCTTGATAAAAGTTTAAGCTGAAATGTTAGACAATAATTAATCTACATAGTTTCCTGGAGTTAGTGGTCACTTATTTTCAATAACATGGTATTAAAACTCGAATATGCACTACGAACACAAAAACACAAGAATTGTAATTAGTTATATAATAAATGCATTGCTATTACAGGTTTTTGTGATTTAGATCTCTGGGCAATTTTGTCATGAACAAAGAGGTAAAAATAAGTACATATAAGCTTTCTTATTTTGTTGCTGTTGTAACTTTAAAGTTTTAAGAAATATGAAATTAGAACAATTTATGAATAACAATTTTTATATTTTAAACTTAAACAATATTTCTTCATTAAGATGTTTCATTCATTCAGAACTTAATATTTTACATTTAATTCCTTAACGTCTAATATCTAATGATCAAAGTTACACATGAATTAATATTATTTAATGTCCACTGGAGACTAAGCAAAAAAATTCTGCTTTTGTATTTTCATGATGTACACTCTCCTTTTGTAACATAAGAAAACCCAACATCTTCCAAGAAATATTACATGCACATGTTAAAGTGTAATACCTTCCTCTACAGTGCATTAAATACTCCTTTATCTTTTGTACATATAACATTAAGCTCCCTCTTAGGTTTCCCACTTTGTTTATGATACTTCAAAGCCTGAATCACAGGTTCAATACATGGAAATTCTGTATATGTATTTTTAAGGTTTACTACACAAGTCTATTGAAGATTTAAATCTAAAATTACGTCTAACAGCAATAATAACAATAAATAAAATTACAGCATGTACTGTAATTTTTATTCAGATGCCCATTTCAAGTGTATAACTGCCTCATGAAGATGCTTCATTATTCACTTAAAATAAAACCTAAACTTGATGCAGATAAAGTTTTTGTGAGCTTTCTTAAAATGAATAATAAAATCTGTTTTATAAATTTTGGATTTTGTAAGAAAAACTTTAAAACACAAGAAATATATCTGTAACAATCACACATTACAAAAACTTCTAATTCAGTAAAAATTCACAATATAATGGTACACTAACCTCTGCCTTGCACTATAAACCTCTCAGTATCTCCATCTTAGTGTCACAATGCTCCTACTATCACAGGCCAAGCTTGTATCTCAAGTTAAAATTCTCACTTCTTTCTCTTCAAAGAACATTATATATTTAAAGAGAGCAAATACAAGGACACAATGATGAAGTAACATTGCAAGTGTTTCCTATCTAATATGGCATACAATTCAAGTAGCTGACTGGGAATCAGATTTCTTAATAGAGTTTTGTTCAATTAAATGTTGTTCTATGGCTTCCTGGATCTTATGATGAAGAATTTTATACTTAGTTTGAACTTGTTTGATATATTCCTCCTCTTCTCGATCCAGAATTTTCAAGAAGTTATTCAGTTCCGGGAGAGTAAAATCATCCCACTGAAAGAACAAAATAAAATACTTTTTTTTAAATTAACTGAGAACAAGTTAAGTAAGATAACACCAGGCAAAACCTTCTATTCTTTTTTACATATCATAATCTACATGTAACAATTCTCTTGTTCTTTTGAAAAATATGAATCAATGTTAAACATGTCTAGTTTGCAAGCCTCGTCTTGAAACATACCACCAGATATGTCAATCATGTTAATTTCTGTCTTTAATGTAATTAGTAAAACACATTATCTCTTGTCTTACTCTTTTACAACTCATCAGAAATTAAAAAACTACAGGTCACTATGTTTTTTTACTTTACTCTTTTACAACTGAACAAGCATAGAAAAGATATACACCACAATATCCCCCGTTTCATTCTCTTGAAGAACAAGTTGTTTCTCATCTGTTGACCACTGCAATGTCAGAACCAGAGGTTTCCCCCCATCATGGATTCGCCGAAGTCGCACTAGATAATTTAAATAGTGTTATTACATTTCCTTTTAGAAAACAAATTTAGTAATTTCTGAATATATATATATATTTAGCTTGATTGCATATTTATCATATATTACATTTCATTTTTATGGAGAATTATTTGATTGTCCTGTCTGAGAATTCTTTCATGATTTTTAGTGTAAACATAATTACAATTTGCACTGCATATACTGATATGTTTATTGATTATGAAATTAACTAGTTATTTTTCAGCTATGAACCTAACTTATACACAGTAAGATCTTAGAACTTATGTGCTATTGCTAAACATACACAGGATATTATCTCCTGTATTTTTAAACAGATGAATTAGTACAATGTGTTACGTTGTACTTAAACAAGAGTAAATAGCCATTATATCTATAAAATTATTTACTAGGCACAACAATAAATGTTATTGAATTTCAAATGATATTTAATAATCAAATACAGATTTGAAATATATTTCAAAATAAATTTTGTTTAAGTGATTGTTTTACTGTCATTGTTACAGAAGTAGTAAAATTCAAAATTATATACATTTTGATAATTTAAAACCATACTACAATCATTCTAAAAATGTAACATAGACAACTGCATGTGTATCAAGTTGACAACTCAGTAATAACTAAACACATTTTGAAATTATAAATATTATCTTCATAAGAAACTTATTATATCTAATATTAATACCACACCTACCACGACCATCTTCTTTGTCAAAATATCTCTCATAGAGAGCATATTTGTGTGGATTGTCTGCAACTTTAAATTTTTTCAGTAGTGTACTGATCACTTCTCTTGCTGTAAACTCACTGAAAAATCAGATTGTATCAGTTAGGTTTAGTGTATCTCACTGTGGGCAAAAAATACAAAAACTATTTTTGTATAAGTACGCATATGTTTTATTTCAGAAACTAGGTAGTGCAATCAGGTAAGATGGGTCTAGATACAGTGTGTTCAGTGACTGCAAATATTTAGAGTTTTATATATATATTCTTTAAGAAAAATTACATGCTGAGTAATTATTTTTTGCCCGTTACAGCATTTAAAGAACACACCAAAAAATTAAGTACAGTCACTCATTCTCCATGTAAAATACATAGGAAACCCAGTAATAATTAGTAAGACTCACTGGAATATTGATGGTAATTTTGTTTCATTTTATTTTATGGCTTTATGGACCAACAACCATTCTGGTGCATAACCAGTTTAGAAAAATATATTTAAAATGCTGATAGAGTCCCTTACTTGTAATTTTTATGATTAACATGTATACAATTACAACTAATGTAAATGCAATTCAATGTTTTCATATTTTTTCTAATCTCAAAAACCAAAAAATTCACACAAACAATAATGTAGTGTATGACAAACCCTCCACAGCTCCTGAAGAAAGGTCCAGAAACCAAATGCACTTAATTGATTGACTTTGTAATGAAATATTTTTTTTATCTCTTTAGCATAAATGTATTCATAATCTATAATAAAATCTCT